ATATCAAACAGCTGCTAAGCAGCTTCATACGTCCAGTATTCAAAAAATGGCCACGTTGAGGATTTTTGCAAAATTAACGAGGAAAATTCGTGATGAGTGCGAGTTTTTACACTTTCCAAAGCCATAACTTGCTTCATTTTCGTCAAATCTGAAAAGTTAATACGGCAGACAAAACTAGAAGATTTCTCTATCAAACGGTTGCTAAAGCAGCTTCATACGTCCAGTATTAAAAATGGCCACGTTGAGGATTTTTGCAAAATTAACGAGGAAAATTCGTGATGAGTGCGAGTTTTTACGCTTTCCAAAGCCATAACTCCGTTCAAACTCATCCAATCTGAAAAGTTAATACGTCATCATAAACTAGAAGATTTGCTCTATTCAAAGGTTACTAGAACTGCTAAATACGTCCACTATTTAAAAAATGGCCACGTTGAGGATTTTTGCCCGAGTACCGCCGAAAGGTACTTTTTCGCTACATTGGCACTATTCCAACGACCAGGGGCAATCATTTTATATACTGAAGCAGGAGCAGATTCGAAATCCTCAAAGACTGCATTTCTTGTTGAATAGTGAATCCTCCCCAGTACACGGATCCTTCAGAATCCTCTTGATTTTTTTCTGAATCGAGATTTTTCTTCAAAGAGCCGTAGTTGAAGCGCGCGCAATGACTGCCCACTCTGGGACGCTCCGTGTGCCTCACATAACTCCATATTTGTCGCGACGCCGGTGCGGCAAGCCTGGGGCAAGACATGACAGACTACAACGTGGCTTGCAGCCCGGTGCCGTGATTTTGATGATGTACGGAGGGACACGCGCCTAGCTCTGCCTGCCACGGTACCTGCGGTCCTCATCCTCCGTTGCCCCTATTCACACCTTCCTGCTGGAAGACCTCTGCGCTCAACCGGAGAAGACGACTGCGCTGAAACCCTTCTCCACTTTCCCGTGGTGTTGCCTATCCACTGCGCTTTTAACCACCCTCGGCAATATTGTTGGTATTGTGCTGATATTGTTAGCGGTGGCAACTGCGATCAATAAATGTTAACCTCTATGAAAGAAATGCACATGTAAAGAAAGGAAAGGTATCTGAACTGCGCTATGCTACTGCGCTTACTCTTGCTACATAACAGAACACAAATAAAGAAGTGGGCTTTATGCCATCTACACAATCTACGAACCTAAACTAGTAAACCTACGGGATGGTTTCCTCGCCTCATTAGGGGCCATCGGTGCCTCGAGCCCCTTCACTCATGCACTGCGCGTTAGCCGGGGTGCGTTCGTCACGTCCGGGCGCGGAGCACAGAGGAGTGAAGGTTCCTGTCCTCCAACCACAGATCCTTGTCCAAGGATGTCCATTCCATGAGTGCGCTGCGCCCCAAGGGTCGTCCGGGGGACGGACGACGGCGCTCGTAGAACATCTCGCGAATACCACTGCGTCCTTGTCTTCTGCGCAGAGTGACAGCTGCGCTCGAGAAGAAATCAGATGCGGGACGAAGGGACGAAGGACAGGGGACAGCATAAGCTGACAGATGCGATGACAGATGAGGGGATGACGATGGGAAACGACCGGGCAGGACGAAGGAAGCGGAGACGACTGACGATCGAATGTGTAGAAACTTCCAGGCCCAAAAAGTGGCGTGGGCCAATCCTTCCCTGCGCGTCGACTTGTGCGCGTGAAGACCCAGTGCGGACTCTGACGACTCGGCCCTTTAAGATGGCTTGCGGACCGGCTCTGCGTCGAGTAAGATGTAAGAGCCGTGACGACGTACACTGCACAAAGAGGTCGTACGAAAGTCACGACAATATTGGTGGACTACTTGAAAGATGGATTTGAAGTCGTCAACCATGCCTTCCATCGGGATCGGTTAATTTGTAACGACTTGACTGGGAGGATAAAAACAGTGACTTGTAGATAGGCCAGCACCCGCAGATGACTGTACAGGTGGATGGAATTCGAGTTGCCACGCGATTTGGAATGGTAATAGAATGTATGGCGCATATCAAAACGGGATGTACAACATTTATGCTTTTGAATGTGTCAGGGAAGAGAATAAAATCTGAAAGGAAGACAAATTGCCAAACATGAATGAGTATAACTGGATGATGGATTTTTAGAGACGCGACAAGGCATATGCAGATTATTTCTGACTCCGAGTTTCCATGTTTATATCAAATGTATCAGCGCTTTGTCGATGTTACACGGAAATTGCCATAAACTCACCATAAAATGCTAATCTTTTGCATAGGCTTTTCTTGTTATGAACGCTTAAAGGAAGCGATTACGATAAAGGGAGCGCATCGGGGAAGCATGTGCACCACACGAATCAGTTACTTGGCTGCCAGGGAAGCGAGATGTGGCGCTTTCACGACGAAAGGTGCGCTGGTTGCTGAGCAGGACTTCGAAAGCGCTCCGCCCAAAAGCGATCCGCCCACTAGTTTACTTGGTGATTTGGACGAGCTGCGTTGCCAGCAGCGGCACAACTGGAGCATCTCGATTGAGCGTGGTTTGGCATGGTGCCACCAAACGCGTTGCGGTGAACTCGTTCATACGTCCGCTTTCTGAGCTGTTACCTGTTCATGAGTGAAAACCAACGGCCAAAAAAGGGGGTCCCGTTTTGCGTTTCTTGACGGATTTTTCTGCTTTTTTCGCTACTGGCGTACCATTGAGCACCACCACGTCACACTAAACCCTTCTCGAATTTATCGTAAGCGCTGCCTCCAAAGGAATAGGGATTAATAGTCGGAAAATGAATCTCACACTACTAAGCATAGAGTGAAAAACAACAGGGTTCTATTGTTTAATCCTACTAGGAACGTGTTGCGGTATGAATCTTGGATATCCAATCAATCCTGCTCGTGATCTTGGACCAAGAATCTTCGCGACCTTCATCTACGGCCCGGAGGTGTGGACGTAAGTTTTGCAAGCTCTCCAGTTTTTGATATCATTCCAGTTTCAGCTATGTTACTGATATTATACAGGGGGGGGGGGTTAAAAATGTGGTGACAAGAATGAACACCAAGAAACGGAACTGATCAATAGACTTCATGACTAGACCATCAGATTAGTCATTATCTTGCAAATATCTCTATGGGTTCATACTTTCATGGTATTCGCTTGGCGAATGGCTCCACTTAACCCGGAATGAACGTGATTTCTAGTCTCACGCATAACCGACTGAACTCTTCTAATATTTGCTGTAGAAGAAATGCGTCGCCACAACGATCCGACTCTAACGCGACCTGCGCATTCTCCCTCGTACACTCAGATATACCTGCCTGTTGTGGAGTTCAAAGGATGACTGTAAATATTGGAAGAGGCCTATCCAGCGGAATTCAGTAAGGATTGTGAAAATATTGACCACATATGCGACAACATTACGTGTCATGCAAAGTGTGCGTAGCAAGCCCGAAATACATGGTTATAAATTGGTTAATCGGCATCTATGAGCAAAGAGAAAATAATTGAGGAGCTTTAGGGGCGTCTGGCGCGAACCGCGAACTTAACCCGCATGTGAACCGATAAAAAATCCTCAACTTTTTTGAATGGTCAAATCTCCATTTGAAAAAAAAACCTGGGAATCACCGCGGCTGCTACTTCAAAGTAAGTGGCACAGCAGGAGCAATGTGAATCGGATTCAACTTCCCTGCTCTCAATGAACCTGATAACTGTGACTTTTTTCTCCGCTGAATATACGTGAGACTAAAAAGTTGAGTCCAACTATTCGTAAAATAATTTCAAAAGAGCGCTTGAAGGCAACATCAGAGCGCTGTGCCTTCTGATTTGCTGAAATTTGTCCAAGTCTGAGGTGGATATATTTGCGGCTTTAAAGGCAAAGGTCGGGATTAGTTGACCAAACCAACCCTTTCGGTCATGCCTGTACTTGGTTACGCACCCGTAGAGATGTTCCCACACTCAAAACCCGAAACGGCGCAGTAATAAGGCCCCAGGGCATGTACTATGCGCTATCGCCGCCTGGCCCCGCTACGACCGCCCACCTCGGGATGTGGTGCGTGGCTGGCATAACGTGTGAAATCAGCTAGGTTGATTGCCGTATCAACCGATAGAACTGATATCTTCAGAAAACTTGTTTGTACGTGCCTCTTCCCCAAGCCAGCCTCCTTCACTGCTAGTGGGAAAGAGGTTTTGTTAACGGCCCCCTAACCATAACACCCCTCAAAGAGCCCGACTTTTGCCTTTAAGGTGTGTAAAGACTGCTCATAACCTCCGATTTGATTGCAGTGGATTGTTCAATGAGGTTGATACTGAGCAGAAAAAGTTCGGGTAACAACACATATCGTATGGATCAAAAGCTGATACCAAAAATGAGATTAAAAGCTGCTATTCAAAATGTATGACATGGTTTTGAGATGCCATGCGGGGAAAACTTGGTAATTTTCTTCAACGAGGATCTGTAGATGCCTTGAAGAAAATTGCCAAGTTTATGAGCAGTCAATTCGAATTGTTGGTAGGATATGGTCATGCGTTGCAATAGTTGACATTTCCTTTCCACCTTTGTTGTTCAAACTGGCCACAATTATTTTGTCGCCATATTTGCGTCCCAACCTGTAGTACGAAGTGATATAAAGCGCTCATAGGATTGTTCCATTGGAGGATATAATGAAGGCAGTAGAGGGGCATTGCTAATGTTAGAAAGAACTCGCAAAATAATCAGTGAGGTGTAACTAAATCACGATATCATCATGACCTCTGCTTGAGGTGACAGCACACTACAAGTCTTTATTTGCTCGCATAATGCAAAACCTCCTTAAAAATCTGATCAGCTGCTTCGTAACCATTATTTGCAGATTCCATAATTATTACTTCTGGATACCTATAGTAGCACCACTATTTGGCGGAGTTTTTGCCGGATGGCTTTACCACGTTTGCATTGGTGCTCATATTCCGGATCCACCAGATCTCTATGTGAGTAAAGAAGCTATAGAGCCGCCGCCCAAGCCTGAAACTCGTATAACAAGCGCTGACAAGGAGGATATAAACAAGGAAGGCAGCGAAAAGTAAGCGATACTCTTTTCCAAATTATTAAAATATATGCAATTGGTTCGTGTATATACAGGGGGGGGGCAAAAAAAAGTCACTTTGCCCATGGCGCATATCATCAAACTTTTCGTCGCAAAGGATGCCGCTGTTATTGGGAGTTATACGGCGAAATATTCCTTAGATGTCCCCCCATAAGCAGAATCAGGCCCACCTTCGCTGCCTTCACCGTCTCCAGAATATGACGTCATCTGTCATCACCGTCGAGCTCAAGGAGGCCTACCATAATCGCTCCATTCTGAAGCTGCTACATAATTTCTTCAATCGGATAACTGGTGAATGGCTTCTTAGGAGACACTAGCTCTGACTATGCAAATGGCTTTTGACCAGCGTTTCAGAGACGTCGTAATCATCCTATGGTTTCTCGACGACCCCGTTTGAGCTCGTACCGATGCACCTACAGGGGGGGCAAAAAAAAAAGACATTTTGCCTCCACTTCCAGATGGATTTAAGCACATTTTACTCAACTCAGACCGAACGGTTCCAACTTATTATTAAAGAGTGCATTCCATTCTATAAGAAAATCTTCATAGTGGCCACGTACGTGGACGGCATCAGAAGAATTAGCCCTGGAAACATGGTGCACTGGTCGATCTCAATGGGGTCTTCGAAGGATCGTGTACCATAACGACCCTTACTGGAAAGCTAGTTCCGAGGGGATTTGCACAGTGGTAGCTAATGCCTCTAGAAAACTATCCAACATTAAATCGATTCACGAAATTGCGTAAGAGCTTCAGGCTGAAGCTCTTACGGTAGACCTCCTTGAGCCTGACGACGGTGACAGATGACGTCATATTCTGAAGACGGTGAGGGCAGTGAAGGAGAGCCTGCGTACACTAATAGAGGAACACTTAGGGAATACTCTGCTGAGGAACTCCCGTCAACGACAGCAATCTCTGCGAAGAAAAAAGAGCCGAAGTCCGACATAGGCAAAATGTCTTTTTTTTTGGCCCCCCCTGTATATCCTTGTATAACTTCGTAGTTGCTTGTAGAAACCCTATGAATTCCATCAATAGACTGGAATGTGTCCTTCAATATGTAATTGAGCACATTCGGTTCAGTTTTAGAAAAGTGATTAATTCTGTTTTGAATGTGGATGAGAGTGACTTTTGGCCCGTATATACATGACTATATATTTTCATTATATTATTATCAACATTTTATCATCGCCCTGGTCCTAACGATAAGTTTCATTATATTTAAAGAGGAAACTTCACTAATTCCACACGACTGTGTAGTGGAAGTGATATGTACGATGAAAAAGCCTTCCGCCAAAACAATCAAATCATTGTCACATTTCTCATGAGCAACGAGGCAACTTCGACAATCACGATCACAAAAATTTGGATAGAAAGTTTTCTATGTATCAAGTATGTGCCGTGAAGAAGAGTAAACAATGTTGGCTCGCCTTTCACCGAGTAAATCGATTTTGCTATTGTTTTCATTCGTCATCATGTCAATTCGCGCCATACTTCTTCCTGAAGATGGGCAAGCTCAGATCAAGGTTATGCATGATAATGAACGTTCCAATCTAGAATCGCAGGATAACCTGGTCGTTCTCCTTAATACATTATTCGTAGAGATTTATCTGGCACCCTGATAATTATACTCAGCACACACTCCGCTCCATCCACGATCCTTGACTGCTCAGAACAACAAAAGAGTAGCCCACATCCTGTCGGATTCTTCATTGACAGTCCGAGCTCAGATTTTTATTCCAGCCTCGACCACTAAGCCCCTCATCCGCTCAAATGAATACACCACTCGACAGACGCTGAGAAAGGCTACTCACTTCAAGGCCCAGCACAAGTTAGCCACATTGGAGTCTGCTCGTACAGACATGGCAACATAGGATAGGACACCGGGCGAAGACACGGTTTTTCGAGAATTTCCTATTTTCAAAACAAGCAACTTTTATGGACTTTCTCTCCTCAGGTAATCTTAACTCATGGAAAGAGTTCGATCTTGACGGGCCGGGTGGATTTTGCTACTACTGGAGAGGCTTGGCCGTGAGTCGCTCGTGCTCTCGAGAAGGAATTTCGGAAGAGGCCCGTTGATGGGTCTGCGGCGGTTTCGCAATCAGCGGAAATTCAGAAGTTGCCGTTCCATTATTGCGTATGAACTGTAAAGAATACCAAGCAGTGCTCCAATGTCACCTGTTGCCCTTCCTTAGCGAAGCGGAGCGAAAATTGCATTTTTAGCAACAGGACCACGTGTCTTTCGATGCTTCGCAATCTACCAAAGAATGGCCTTAACCAAATGGTGCTGAAGCGATAGATTGGCTTGTGTGTCCTCCTTACTGCAACCCTATAGGGAGCCCTTGATCAAGGCGTTAACTTTAGCAACCGGCAGTATAATACCGCGGATGAACTGAAGGCGGCGGTAGAGGCTATTTGGGCCGACAGCGACGAAACAGCTATGCCAAACGTGGTTCAGATTATGCCGGACAGGATGTTTGAGCTAATTAGAAACTCTGGAGGCCCCACTGATTTCTAATCTCAGCTATGTTTTTGTCTTTTGTTAAGTGTGCACATACTTTTGAAACAAAGAAAAAAATTTCATCCAAAATTTTTTTTCGAAAGTGAAGCGATATTATCTGCTTTGCTTCCATTGATAGGTTATCGACTACGAGAAATCGATTGAGAAGGATTTCATAGCACGAAACCTCATGGTTCCCTTTCAAACGTGAATTTTGAGGGTGTGCACATACTTTTGAAACGCACTGTAGGCTTCCCAATGGAGGAGAACACGTGGCGTCATTTTTATGAGCATAGTCACCAACATCTTCTTGGTGAATATGTGCAATAAAAGGTTAAGAAAAATTTTAGAGCAGGGCTGCTCGGCGACTGAAGCAGAAAAAAGCGCGCTATACATATTATCACCAGGAAACCAAGAAAGTAAGGAGCCATTGGTAGATCAGCAGCTCGCCATGCAAGTGGTCGTAGAATAAACGAACTCGGCCGGTAAATTTAGCAGGGCATAGTGGTGATGATTGTAGGGGGAGGAGGCGGCGGTACATCTGACATCATTGCGAGGTCATCAGATCTAACAGTTATTGACCAGTCTAGTCAGTGAAAATGGAAGAGGCAGCATCCTTCACAATAAAAGAGCTGACCTGGGACCTTGTTTTACCCGTTTGGATTGACCATGTTAGGCTTCTTTCAGTGTCGCCTCTGGAGGAGCTTTCTTTTTGTAGGACAATGTGGAGTACATCTCCAAATAATTCGTCGGCCTTCAATATTGGTCGCAGGATCTGTAGACGATAACTTTTTGGAGCTAGTCCGAAACATTGCTTCTTGAATCTTTACCCAGAGATTCAAACTGCTACCTTAGTCATGAATCATTTTTTCGCGGACTCGCGCTGCCACCAGTTCTGCGCCGCAATTTTTCTAACCAAACTAGTAGCTAGAAGGTTACCATTAAGAATTTCTTATTATGACTTCTAGAGAGATCTTGGAAATGGCGTTCAATTGGACGCCATTTGTGCACTAGATAACACCTTATCGGTTATAACATACGATGGCGAAATGCTGTTCACCAATGGGGAGCGAAGTCATGGCCATTGCGCAGTGAAAACCCTATCACTACCCCACTGCGGCCATGAATTTCATTTGTTTTTTCATGGATTTTAGTGAATTGATTGTAGTTAATGAATTGAATGAATGAATTTCATAACCCATTTCAATTAAAAAAAATTCATGGCCATAACGTCTTGGTCCAACTTCTTTTACTGCAACTCCCCTTAAAGGCACGCTCCACGTTTAAGCGCGCTTGCCTCTTCCATCCCTGGGGTA